GAGGGAGAATAATGAAGGAAAAAAATGCAAAAAGAAAAACAAGGAATGGGGTTAACCACGAGAAAAAAGGGGGGGAAAAAAGAAAACCTAGAAAAAAAATTTCAACCAGGAACAGGGAAAAGAAAAAATGCTGAAAACTAGGACCTGGGAGGGGAAGATTAAGAATAATAGTAAAAAGGACAAAAGTATTGATAATAATAGTTGTTTTAAACAGACAAATAAGCAAACTAATCAGCAGAAAAAAGAAAGCAAAAAAGAGAAAAAAATATCGGTGGAGGATAGGGCAGGGCATCCAGGCTCCATCTGAGCACACAGACTGTGGTGGAGTTCCTGTGGGCCCTGAAGGCAGGTGGGAGTAAGGGATGGCCGCACCTCTGTTCACCAAGAGGGTGTGGGGTGTAAGAGTAACAAGAGGAATGTCGTACCTTTTCAGTCTGGCAGGTCCGGAGTGTCCTTGGGGTTGCTGGAATGCAGAACATGTTCTTAAGCCCCAGGAATCTGTGAGAGCGCTGTCTCTTTAAATATCCAAAACAGTCAAGCTGCTTTTAAACATTCAAAATGGCAGCGTCCTCCAGACCAGCAAAAGTCTACAGCTCAGCCCGCCTTTCTCTTCACCTTCTCCGTTGATTCGCCAGCCACCAGAGCAGTCCTCCGTGCAGTCCCTGGGTAGCAGGGCTGATTTTTAGGTTAATTCTTAGGTCCTACCACCACTTGGGAATCTCCAAGCTGTCTGTGCTGTGCCGTCAGGATCACTGCCAGACTGCAGCTCCATATGTCTCCTTTTTTGGTATTTTCATGCAAATTCTTCTGCTAGTTGGGGTTTAGTCCACTTCTATGTCCTTCCCTTCAGGGCTCAGGGGCCCAGGATTATCTTCTGTGTCTGTGTTAATTGGTTTCCCTTTTCTTTGTTGAAGAGGGTCTGTGCAGTCTTTCTGCCTAGTCCGCCATCTTACCAGAACCATCTTCGAGCTTCTTAAAAGCAGAGACTGTCATTTTTATTCACAAAACTTGATTAAATGAAACCCACACTAATTTAGAATTTCCTAATCATTTGAGTATGGTACACATAGTGTCCCCATGAGTCATAAGCAATTCGATAGCAGTGTGTTTTATTTTGTTTTTAATACTGGAATCTTCATGAATACAGATGATCACATTGTTGCCAGTGAACTACTTCATTTCTTCCTACTTTAGTCTTAATTTTTCCATCCATCATGACAGAGAAGATCTATCATTACTGTCTTTCTTGGTGGTTATGTTTGTGTCAACTTGGCTAGGCCTGGTTGAGTTGCTGGGCAGCTGGATATAGTATTCCCCATGATGAGACTGGTAATCAACTCCATGGTGGAATCTACTATGAGCAGCTGAGTAGCTGCCTTTGAGTATGTGGTCTGCTTCCTGTGTATAAGGAGAAGCTTTGAGAATGGTGTCTAGCCTATGGCACACTTGGACCCTGCATGTAGCCGTGTCATTGCTCAGCAGGCTGGTATGCTCTGCTGACCTTGGGACTTACAGTGGACTTAAGTTAATGGCCTGCCGTGTGGTTTGGTAACATCGGGACTGTGCCTTTTGACTTGTCAACCTTGGGGTTTCTCAGCCTTAGCAGCCAGCAGCTGTCTGAGTGAAGAAACGCCTCTAGCTCCAGTGGGCCAGGAGCAGGAGGCAGAGCTGGACCCCAGGTTGAGGGGCTTTTTCACCCACCCCCTAGAGGCTGGCATTTTGAACTTGGAGTTAAAGCCTCTGAATTTTAAGAATAAATTCCTGTTTGTTAAGGCCATCCTATTCGTGGTATATTTCTTGTCAGAGCAGCTCTAGGTAACCAGAACACTTTCTTTCTCTACTTACTGTTCTGTGATGGACAGGTGGAGGTTCAAGAAATATGTTGAGTAGTCATGTGGAAATAGTGTGACTTTCATTTTTTTTAAATACTCCTATTTAAGAAATAAAAATATTTAGTTGTGTTTATTATATTTTAAACTATATCTCATAACAGTTAAAATTTTTAATCAGCATTCTGTGCCTATTCTTTGTCATTCTCCCTACCTCCTTCTATTCTCTGATATGTCTGTATAATTTTTCGAACTCTTATACCTTTCCAATTGAAAACACTTCATTTTTTTCTAGATGGTATTTTGGCAAAATGGGTAGAAAAGATGCTGAAAGATTACTTCTTAATCCTGGGAACCAACGAGGTATTTTCTTAGTAAGAGAGAGTGAAACTACTAAAGGTATGAATATTGATACACTGTTACAAATATAAACATTTTCTTGGACAATATTTTGAGAAAGTTATGCTAAAAGTATTCATTTTTCTTCATAGGTGCTTATTCCCTCTCTATTCGTGATTGGGATGAGGTAAGGGGTGACAATGTGAAACACTACAAAATTAGGAAACTTGACAATGGTGGATATTATATCACAACCAGAGCACAGTTTGATACTCTGCAGAAATTAGTGAAGCACTACACAGGTGGGTGAATATTTCAGAGGTAAAAATTGCTTCCTCATGTTCTGTTTTATGAGGACAGAATCCATGTCTTCATATGTCTTAATGTTCAACACAGTACTCTACATGTTCAGTAAATGTCTGTTGTATTCTAGTAAGGGAGATAAGGAGAATTAGGAATAAGTAGCTTATTACCTGAATTAAGTTCCTGGATGATGTCTTAAAATCAGACTATCATCATTTGAATTGTCATATATAATTGGCATAGTATTTGCATTGGCGTTCCATTTCTTAATATATAAATACCACGATAGATTGTGAAGATAAATTTAAGAAAATTAAAGCAAATATTTTATTTATGACCACTTATTAAATATGGAAAGCTAAACATTTAAATAAAAAGCTGTATCCTTTTGAGTTTCCTTCCCTGGATGAGCTGGAGCACATAAGAATTCCTAAAGCACAAATCCAATGCAATTTGGTCTGAAGATGCATTTTTCCTGCTAAATTAACCTGTATCAACTATAGATGTTCTTTAGTCTTCCAGAGAACTTGGATAAGTATCCAGTATTATAGTTTGCTGAAAAAGTTTCCCATTTCCATTTGATAGACATGAAAGAATCTGAAAGTCTTTAAATGATTAGTACTAAGTGAGGGGACGTTTCCCTGGTAATTTCTTCCTCAGTGACAGCTAACTGCAAATAAGTCTGTCAGGTTATCCCAGTCTTGTCATGAATGAAAAGTATTACCAAGCAGTGGCATCAGTTGTAATGGCACATGTTAGAATGTGAATTTTTGTGATTAGTTACTGAGAATAGGGGAGGAATGTGTTTTAGTTATAATAAGAAAGTAAAAGGATTTGAAAGTCAAGCAATTATGAATTTGGAGTTCCCTGCCTTTGTGTCTCTTTTATTTAAAAATTATAAATGATAGTTTATAAAATAATTTGTAAAATGATACAACCACTGTGAAAAGCAGTATGGTGATTCCTTGAAAAGTTGGAAATAGAAATACCATTTGACCCAGTCATTCCATTACTAGGTATATGTCCTAAAAAAATGAGAACCAGGACAAGAACAGATACATGCACACCCATGTTCATCGCATCACTATTTACAATAGCAAAAAGATGGAAACAACCTAGGTGCCCTTCGACAGAAGAATGGATAACTAGACTATGGTACATACACACAATGGAATACTGTGCAACCCTAAAGAATAACATAGAATGTACAAAACACCACATAACATGGAGGAACTTAGAGGACATTATGCTGAGTGAAACAAGTCAGTCACAGAAGGACAAATATTGTATTAGTCCTTTACTGTAAAAAGTCAAGGAAAGATTTATATATGGAAGGAAATTATCTTTGTTGGTTATCAGAGGTAACCAACAGGGGAGAGGGAGGGAAGGGAACACTGTTAGATAAATAGGGACAAATACTGATTTGGGTGAAGAGAAGGGCAAAAAATACCAAAAAAAGAAGAAAGAATTAATCTCCTAAATGAAGGGTGTTTTCCTTGATTTTTGGTATGCCTCTTACGTCAGTGGTTATTAGAAATAATTATTGATGGTAGCATTCTCTGGGGGGAAGAAGTAAGGCACAGCAGTCAAAAGCACAACTTTGGGGGTGGATGGACCTGAGTAGAATATTGGCTCCATCACCTCCTAGCTGTGTGACTTCAGGAGGGTTGCTTATGTTTCCTAAGCTTCATTTATGTGAGATAGTTGTAAAGTGCTACATTAGTATAATAATGGAACATAAGTATTCAGTAAACAGTAACTTTAAAAATGTATTTAGCAAGTTGATTCACTTACCTGCATTTTGTATGTTTAGCTTCTTATATATGCATTATTGTGTTTGTGTGTGTTTTCAGAGTAAAACTGATAGCATACTTTGTTTTTATTTTCCTTTGCTACAATTTAAATATTGATATGTGTACCCTGGAGCTCTGGTGGCCTAGTGCCTAAGGCATTTGACTGCTAACCAGAAGGCTGGTGGTTCAAACCCACCAGCCACTCCTCAGGAGGAAGATTGGGCAATCTATTTCTGTAGCCATATCACCTCGGAAACCCAAGGAGGGGTCGCTATGAGATGGATCTGACTTGACAGCAGTGCCTTTGGTTTTTTTTTTTTTTTTTTAATGTGTACCTTAATTTTTGTAAGTACTTAATTTTAATATGTACTTTATTCATTTATCTAGAACATGCTGATGGCTTATGCCATAAGTTAACAACTGTGTGTCCAACTGTGAAACCGCAGACTCAAGGTCTAGCAAAAGATGCTTGGGAAATCCCTCGAGAATCTTTACGACTAGAAGTTAAATTAGGACAAGGATGTTTTGGTGAAGTATGGATGGGTAAGAAGCCTGAACTTTTATTTTTTGTTATTCAGCCATAGAGTAAAATGCCCCAATTTTTGATAAAATGTTTTTAAATATTTAAGGTAATTGCTATTTATTGAAATTTGGTCTAATATTCCCTAAAATGTAGGTTAAGTAATAAAATGTGTTATTTCTCTAGGAACATGGAATGGAACCACAAAAGTAGCTATCAAAACACTAAAACCAGGTACAATGATGCCAGAAGCTTTTCTTCAGGAGGCTCAGATCATGAAAAAATTAAGACATGATAAACTTGTACCACTATATGCTGTTGTTTCTGAAGAGCCAATTTACATTGTCACTGAATTTATGTCAAAAGGTATGTGTATATCCTTGAGCAGATTTGTAACTCTTGGGATATTTTTATTCATCAGTTTTTTGTTTTTTTGTGTGTGTGATTTGGGTGAAGTTTTACAGAGCAGATTCACTTTCCATACAGCAGTTCACATACACTTTGTCTCATGACATTGACCACAGTTTACCACAATGCAACAGCTTCCCTCCCACTTCCTCCCCATAGTTACCCCTTCCTAGTGTCCATCCCTCCATGCACTCCTGCCCCCTGAGCTGTCTCCATGTGCATAAATAGCCTTTTTTTCTCCCAT